AGATAACGTATAAGTACAATATTCGTGATATTTATACTATTATCATTGAGACAACGTACACGTGTTCGTGATATTTATACTATTATCATTAAGACAACGTATACGTGTTCGTGATATTTATACCATTATCATTGAGACAACGTACACGTGTTCGTGATATTTATACCATTATCATTAAGACAACGTATACGTATTCGTGATATTTATACCATTATCATCGAGACAACGTACACGTGTTCGTGATATTTATATCATTATTATTGAGACAACGTTTAGGGATTGGTCAGTTACTTCAGCCTAGGGGGGTCGGCAGATTCCATTTTGCCAGCTGTAAATCTCAGTTGACCCACCCCCCATCAAAAAAAAGTGGGTGACCCCCCCCAAACATTATATTTTAAAACATGCTACTCCTCCTAAAAAACAAAGAAACATTAACAGTTTTGGCTCTGACATGATTACAAAATGTATTATATGATTATATGTGCATTGAAAATATCATGGTTTGCCATAATTTTGACATAATTTTTAGCGTTTTCATTGAATAGACCTTAGGAGGGGAGGGGAAGCATAAAGCCAAAAAACGACTACAGAAAAGGCTGCAGGAAGGAGGGAAATCTATGCAGCTAAAGATAGTAAATAAAAGCAAAGCTGTGGAGTACTTACTCGATAAACGCCCTTATAAGATAGGAAAAGAGGATTTGAATCTAGGTGGTTTGAACTCTTTGAAAACTAAGTTGGATTTAAAATATCTTTCATATCTTATAGACCAGGAAAGCTTTACACCCGAAGCACAGTCTGGGCTCATGAAAACAAAGGAAATTTTGTTTTTTGCTTAAATTTGTGTTGGGTTTTGGTATTTTACAGAGCAAAATATGCATATTTAAAAGTTAAAAAAAACAAAAAAAACTATTTATTTATTTTTTCATCATTTATTTTAATTTATATATCAGTATTTTCACAAATTTGATTTTCTGAACAAAAGCTGTCACTGCTTTTTGTACTAATTGCTGTGTTGTCTTCTTTCCGTCTGCTGTTATAATTGGATAAATCCAGTAAATATCTTATACAATGGTGACTTCAGACTTTAAATAAAATAATATGATACCAGCAGCACATGGACTTGGGATGTGTTTAAAACTTAACTGTATAATTGGGGTTCTAGCCGCATTGCATAATCTGTTAGTTTGTTGGCAATTTTAACCTCAAAATATTTAGCCTATAACATTTTTTGCATCAACAAATTTATAGGTAATATAGGTAATAGTTATTATTAAGAACACATTTGTACAATTAACTTTTTTATCGTTTGTTCTGAAATAAAATTTTAAAAAATATATGCATGAGCACGTGTGTGAATTCTGGCAAACATGGTGACCCCCTATACATGATATCAAAAACAGGGTGACCCCCCCTATTCATACAATCAAAAACAGGGTAACCCCCCCCCCTACTGATCCACCGACCCCCTAGACCGATGTAACTGACCAATCCCTTACGTATTCGTGATATTTATACCATTATCATTGAGACAACGTATACGTATTCGTGATATTTATACCATTATCATTGAGTCTACGTACACGTGTTAAGTCCACTCATATTGAACGAGACATTACCAATAGCATATCCTTTATCCAGGCCCTCTCTCAAATACACGATGATAAATGATGTGTCTCATAATAACTATCCCGCATATGGCACTTCACTGAAATATGTCTGGGTACATTTTGTAAATATTTCATCATATAATTTTCCTAAGCGAAGGGTTTCAGAATTGAAGGATTGGCATTCAATGTAATTCACTTATCAAAACAGTCTACAGTTGCATTGACAGACGTTCCGTCAACCGCAACATTTTTAAATCGACACTCAAGTTCCGGCATATCCCGGAGAGAAGGTACTATAACTTTTGAACTCGTTGATAAACTGTCACATCGTTACTGTTTTGATAGTATGTTAAAGCACATTTCGACACCGCACAAAGGAAGGTGTACCGAAATAGCACAGTTAAAATGTATTGAAGTGATATAATATGTGTAGTCATTTTTACTTAGCGGAGACTTGATTCGTGCAAGTGTTTGTTAATGTATTTCCATTTTTCAACTTTAACTAATAAAGACCTCGATGTCAATAGCGTTGACGACTAATCGGGATATGGGAATCGTGGAACTGTGGTAGGGAATCGCAGTATATTGAGATATAAGAAATAATTACATAACGTGATTATGAACAACTGTTAATGGCTATGGTTTAAGTTCTTTTAATTCGAAATCTGCAAATGGTTAGCATTCAAAACAAAACGCTGATACGAGGCCAACACGTACAGGCTGAACGTCATCAGCAGTGTGAACGCCATTCACTGTATGAACACATCGAAACGTTGTATTGTACGTGTGATCACGAATTCATACACTAGCTTGTTGTGGGTGTGCATGGCCACCAAATGGTACCGATCGTCCGTTGAAAGTGTATATCTTATGTATCGTTCGGATTATTAGTCCTTTATTTCAGGAATGTTGGTCCCAGAGACACACAATGAAAGAATACAATATACAAACTAATATGCAGCTAATAAAACATTGCATATATTCGATTGCTCTGTGCTATCTACAGCAACTAGATTGATAAAGTAAAATCAAGGTCACGGTTAAATATTAAAATCCACTCAGAATGATGGATTTTATAATATATACGTTGCATGTTTACTCAACTCAAATATATCAGTATTCATGAAGTGTTCTAGGGATTTTATATAAATCACGTGACATGATAATTATAATTTGATAATTATTTAGATCTAATTTGTATGGTACACTTACTATGCGAATAGTATCAGAACAATGATTACAAATTCTGAAAAGTCGACGCTCATGCACATGCGTATGTTCAAAGACTTTTATTCCATATTGGATTTTAAAAATTGGGACATGACCGAGTAGTTGACAGGATTCACTAAAATAATGAGAATTTTTCCAAGATGGTTTGGACGATCGGTTTTAAGTCAGGCAATGCTGTCGTACTCGGATTTGTAATGATATTAAGTCCTCGTAATGAAATGTCTCCGTCGGTCTGCGGCCTCAACATTGTGTATTGGGTCGGACTTTGTATATAGTCCGAGTACTTGGGTTTTATCATATACGTAAACCATTGTCACTGACACATAGTCATTACCTAATATTATACAGTCAAAGTTGAACATTTTTAAATATTTCTACTTACACAATTGAGATTATCCTTATTCAAGCCTCAAATTATTACTGCCGTTGGGGGCGTGGTTGAGGATACAGAATAACGCGTTCAGTCGGTGCCATTTACTAAATGCTACCTTCGAGGCATTGCACTATATTTATACCAAACAATCAACCAACACTAACCATGGAAAATGCTATAACATGTATACATTTACCCGATTTTAAACATTTACTAAAAGTGTGTAGTATGTAATTATATTTTGTATAAATAGATTTAAATTGTCTCTTCATGACTGAGATTAATAACTGACTGATATTTTACCAGACATTATAAATACCAACACCCAAAATAAAGCATTAAATAACGCATATATTTTCTTGCCTTACAAAATACCATTGATTTACCATATAATAATACGTCAGGCAAATTATTTTGGTTTCTATAATTTCGGAAATAACGTCATAAACTCAGTTTTCGTGGTGTGAAATCGAACGTCGTGCTCTTTATCTAAACGATTACTCGATCAACCACAAACATTTTTATAGTGCTAAAATCCAAATAGTTGAACGCTTTATTGAACAGATTTTTCAAAAATGTTCAACGGTTGATTTTTTAAGTAATTCCAAATGGAAAATGTTCCACAGGCGAGATACGAGAATTGGATTGAAAGATTCAGATTCGGGACAACAGACATGTACGCAGGGCTAGTTTTAACAGTGTCAGTGGTTTGCCCAATCAAAAAGATTTTTGTGGTAACCTTGAAACAAGAAAAACATGGTGTTGTGTCTTTTGCAAAAATCCATAATCCCCTTTTATCACAAAAAGACATATAACTGTGGAAACAGTGTTTATTTTTATACCTGGATTAAAAGCAACTAGTATGAATAAGCCATATATGCGGCTTAAAACTATAAATAATTTTAAAATAAAATAAAATTAAAGACAGCCTGTATTATTTTTTATTAATGACAGATATATTCTGTAAATGCACTGATTATTCCCTGTTTTTTGATTAGTTAATATCCGTTATACGCACAACTCAAATATTGAAAATTATGAAAATGTATGTTATTACCAAAGAAACAGATTTGCCCGCTTTTATAAAAGAGGGCGCTGTCTCAATCCCGCTGATAATCACTGATGACCTGTTGACCTCTGTACAAATAAAGACGCGACACGGTGACCGGCTACTGGGGTGAACGAAGGACAGACACATGTGTGACGCGGTATATTGTGCATGTACATCCCGGATTTAGTTGTTTATGTAGTGTGTTTCCAGTCAGAGTTTCCAAGCACCATTGCCGTCGTCCGCTGATGTTCTGCTGATGATTCGCGATGCCTTCAGCCGCGAATCATCTTTCTCTTGCTGGTAAAGTAGCGGTCGTCACTGGCGTAGGTGGGTTGAATCGCAGTCAGTGGACATAATGTTTATTTATTTATTTAGTTGTCTCGACGTTCTAGATAATACACTAGTGGCACGGGGGTTGTTGTTTACTATATGGAACCAGTGACGTCACCTGAAAAGAATGTTCAATTTAACAGTAAAATGAACGTTTATTCCGAAAATATAACATACAGTACA